AGAGAGAGAGAGAGAGAGAGAGAGAGAGAGAGAGAGAGAGAGAGAGAGAGAGAGAGAGAGAGAGAGAGAGAGAGAGAGTTTTGTGTGTGTGTGTGTGCATGTATGTGTTGCGGAGAGTTTACCAGGGCGACTGAGGAAAAGAGGTAAAAGATTGAGGGATAAAAACCTCCATTTGTCTTTGTGCCTGTATGTGTTTGTGTTTGATTCTTATTTAAAGGCTTAATCTTTGCCAGAATGTGCGTATTTATGTGTATGTGTGTGTGCAGTGGGGGAGTGTTCTATTTTACAGCTATTAATCTGGCTAGAACGTGCCTCAATTTCAATTCTCAAGGTCTTTCACGCAAGTGTGATTGAACAGGAGATGATACAGTAGAGGAGGAGCAGGGGGACCCATCAAGCTAGTGTCTGATGCTGGGGGTGAATCCCCCGCCCCTCCTCTGTGTGTGTGTGTGTGTGTATGTGTGTGTGTGGTTCTTCTTTAGGGGCTTTAGTCTTGCCAGGATGTGTCTAGGCGAGGGGAAGGGGGAACAGTGTTCTTGTTGTTTAGAGCATTTAATGTGGCGGGAACATGCGTCAATCTCGAATTTAAAGGTCCTTCATGAATGTTTGACTGAATAAAGTTGATGAAGTAGAGGAGGAGGAGCCTCTCAAGCAAGAATGTGCCTTTGTCTGTTGCTTTCATTGCGACCTCCCAAATTTCCAGTACCATAATGCTTATCCATCATCACTGGTTTCGGGGTGATCAATGAACAGGTTATGGAAGAAGGGAAGGAGTCCGAAAGGGCACAATGGTTTCCAGATATCGAGCCTCTTTTCAAGCTGCTCCCCTATGAGAATGTTCCTCTGACATTGAAGGTGAGAGACTTGATTTTGTGCCTTCCATTTCACGGCATCAAACACATTCCTCAGGATGGGAATGATCGCAGGAACATCACTCTCAAATTCTCAATCTATTCTTGTAGTTATAGCTCTCCAAAGTCTCCAAGATGTGCGAATGATCGCTGGAACATCTCTATTTGTTTTAATTCTCTAACCTAAAACTTGAGATGTGCGAATGATCGTCTGTCAATGGGTTAATATCATGTCATTTCAGAAGAACAAGAGTTAACAGCTGCTATATTCTTTGGGATGGGGTTTGTGAATGACTGCGTGGGACATTACTCGCAAAGTATTCCTCTCGTTTTTGCTCCCAAGGTCTCCAACTGTTTTAAAGGTTAATATCGCATCCTTAATATCACATCCTTTCCGATGATCAAAGAGTCGACAGCTGTCCGAGAACATCCGTCCGACACTGAAGGTATTTTGAGGGTGGGATTGGGATTTAAATAGCCTGGTGGAAGTTTGAATGCGAAAGCACTACCAAATGGCCTAGCTCAGCTGGTACAGCCCTGAACAGTTTAAGTAACAACCTGAGTTCACACTCCGCTGGAAGCAGATGAGCAGTGAGTACACCTCTGCACAGTTGAAGTAGAAACCTGAGTTCACACTCCGCTGGAAGCAGATGAGCAAAATGATACACCAGTGAGTTCGACGACGACATCTCCAGATCGTAAAGAGGAAAAAAAGGAAAAAGAAGGTAGAGGAAAAAAGAAGAAGAGGGAAGGGCAGAGGAAGAATGCGAAAGCACTATCCTTGGTGGGCAACTGTATCGTCGTTGGTGTTGGTGAACCCGTCCAAATTTCGACCAGAGTCCCGATACATGTCACAGGAGACACACTCCATTATCCGATAGGTAACACTGCGAGATAGCTGAAGGGAGAAGTATGTGATGCGGCCGAGGTGATATACTTGAGGTGCGGAATGAGTCAGACATATGTTTCAAGGTCTGCCGGCGCTTGCGAATGTTACTGGATTCGGGATCAGACTTTTTCCAGTGATTTTATTGTGCACACAAGTATTCGATGGTGGTGGATCAGATACAAAGGTGGCATAAAATGAATGGATGGATGGGTGATAGGCAGCTGATGGTTATGATTTGGTTATCATCACGACTGAGGGAAAAGGCTTTCTGTTCAGTAATGCATGTTGGTAGCATGAATGACGAGGGTTACTGGCGGGAGATAGAACTGGGCAGGTGCAGCCTCCTGCAACGAAGCAATGCAAGGCCGGTAACTGCAGAAAGAGTGGATGGTAAAGGCTTGCTCTGATATGCAACTGCAAATCATCCTTGCAGCACACACACACACATGCACACGCACATGCACACACACACACACATGCACACACACACACACACACACACACACACACACACACACACACACACACACACAGAGAGAGAGAGAGAGAGAGAGAGAGCAACATTTGGTTGAAGAGCTGTCTAATATAGGTTATCATAGAAGTCTTTATACTGGTGATACCCGTTTCTGTAGTTGCAATTGGTGATGCGTCTTGGCTTTTTTCCAGAGCATGTGCTAAGCATTAAAATGTCCACTGCTTTGCTCATTGCAGGGTGCGCTGCGGAATGCAATTGCAGCATTCATACCAGTGTCAGCTGCAATGCGAGACCATGTGTGGGGGCTCTACCTGAAGTATGATGTGGTCCTCACTGCGCCAATCCAAGCAGGACCGTCTGCAAAGCTGGTAAAGTGCTCTGTACATATGAAAGATTGGCACATTGACTTCTTCAGTGGATTACTGCTTATTTTTAATTCCGCTACTCTTGTGGTATTTGCATTTTTAGGAATAGAGGAATCTCTATCTTATTTCCACATACCCGCTTAAGGGAAAGTCCTTTCGTAACGGATGACACTCAAAACCATGATGTGCTAACTTACGATGTACGTCAAGATGGCTGAAACAATGCACACCAAAGTTACCAAACATTTATTAAACACCCAAGAAACATATTCATTGAAAGAGAGGTTTAAAGAGAGGGTTTCCACTTCAATAAGGACTCCTCTCTCTCTCTTCCTTCGTGAGCTTGTGTGGTGTGAAAAGCGAGGTGTTGCAATGCTTTGTAATTGTGGGCAACTTGGCAGGTTTCTGATCCCACAAGGCTAGTAGTCATGCCGGCGGTAGGTGCCTCTCGATTGGTAGGCTGCCTACCAGACGACCGGTCTACCCGTCGGCACCTAATGTTTGGCTGTCCGTAGGCAGCCTGCCCAAAAAAAAAAAGAAAGCAAGACCGCCAGAGTCCCTGAATCTTCCCCCACTTACTCCCCTTAATACCCCAATTACCCCCCCCCCCCCCCCCCCCCTGAATCTTCCCCCACT